TTGTAATTATATATATGCGCGTACCACCGAACCGACGCGTGCCTATATATGTGGATATCGTAAAAAAGCCCTGTCTCTCCCCCCCCCCTCAGCCGATGACAGGTGTCGCGCGCCACGGAGCTTTCGTCCGACGCGTGCGCGCGAGCTTTATTCCCCCTTTCCGATACGTATGGGATGGTTATCTCCCGTAACCGGCTCGGGTATGTTCCACAGCTCGTGCATGATACTCGTTTGTAAATAAAATTATTTATGGGCTCCGGTACTTGCTCAAAGTTGCGAGGCTTCTTTTACGTGCGGTATACCTTCTCTCTGCCTGTTGTACGAGGGAAATTTAAGAAAAAATTTTATAGGGTCAAAGTGCCCGTTTATGCTTTCGAGTTGCGTTCCAAACTCGACTTTGTCCATACAACGGAGCTCCTACATGTATATCCAGTGAAAAATAAAGCTTTTTTCCGGAATTTACATCCCAAGTTAAATCATAATCTATCCAAAAAAAAAAAACAAAAAAACAAAAGTGCCCTTATATAGTTATATTTTTAAGTACCCGCAATAATAATAATATTATTACAACCTCGTCAACTAAACACGTTCGATGGCAATAGAAAAAAAAAAACATTTTTAAGTCTTTGTGGTTTGTGTCTACTTACGAGTTGTTGTATGGTAGAGTATACTTAATCCATAGGTTGCAGTGCCGATCCCGAGCAGGGGACGTAAATGCAACGATTCTTCACAACCGGTTTTTTTTGTTTTTTTCATGCCAACACTGTTGTTTTAGCAATTCTCATTACTCTTATTTTGACGACCAGATGCACCAAGTGAAACGAATTTTTTTTTTTTTTCAATCGTCAAACGTTGATCCTGGCTTTCGTTCAAGCTAAATTAAAACACTTTATCTAAAAAAAAAAAAAAAAAATTATTTATCTCCACTTACTAAGGTTGGGTGTTTTTTTTTTTCATTTTTTTTTTTTTTTATTGATTAAAAGTCTTTGAAGCCGACTAGCTTTGAACCAGTCACGGCAGAATCACCCGTGTACATGCATTATTACAACGGTATATGCGTATGTGTATTGTGCAGTACGGAGGTCCAATCTTGCGATCGAACAGTTGTATATACTTTGTACATACGTTGCTATGTATAGATGCACCCCTTGCTCGCAAATACTTTTCTGCCAGGAACGAAAGCTCACTTTCATTCTCCCCGTTTTTTTTTTTTTTTCTTTTTTTTTTTTTTTCCGTTATACATCCCAACTTCGCCGAGTCGACCAACGAGTGGAGTAGTATATTAAAAGCTTTTCTTTCCGTTCTTATTAATTTGTTTTATTTTTTTCGAAAATTCACCAGAATCCACGACATACCAAATAATTATCCTATTTTTAAAAAACCGAAGTTTTGCATTTATTTAGCCACAGTAACAACGTAGCTCGTTAAAGTTCAGCACAAACATTACGTGTACGTATATACGTATAATATGTATGTATACGCTTGTACGCGCCATGTAGCGCGTATACTACCCGATAATCTCATCTAAATGGAACATCAGCCGCTTCTTCTTCTATTTTTTTTCTTCTTCTATTTTTGCGCTATACTTGTAAACACACACACACACGCGCGCGCGAAACGTTGCTCATTGGTACGTTGCCGTTGTTGTCAGTTTGGATCAATAACTCAATCGTCCCATGCACACACACACATGTACAAAAAGAGCGTGTGTCGCAATTTTTTCATTTAGAAAAAAAAAAAAAAAAAAAAAAACTCGAATGAATAAAACGGACAGAGAGAGAGAGAGAGAGATCATCGTCGCCGCTCTTTATGTATATGAATAAGCCGAGGAGATCATCTGGAGCTCGTGTGTTATATTAAAGTTACGATATACAAGCGCACAACAAATCTCACATTGTAATAACACGTGTACTTCTATATATATATATATCCCGTCTGGGTCGGATGAGCCGAAGCGCGAGCTCCATACACGCACAGATATAGCCGCATCTTCCTCTCTCGTGTTGCAGATCATTGAATGACAAAAGGCAATTATTATAATGTGTACATGTGGCTCGAACATATACTAGCCCCCCCCGACGACGTTGATACATGTACAATATACTTTGCCGTCATGATCGGTATAATATACATGGGGTCGCCCTCGCTTCGTTCAGTCCATCATCCGCAGTCTCGGCGTGTGTACGCTTGTTCTTCTTGTTGTTTCTCGTATGTACACGGTATAACGCGTTAAACGCATATATATATATATATTTATACAAAGTGCGCGTTTCAGATTAATCGTAATTTAATTCTCCCCTCCCCCCGCTCTTTTTCTTCGGTCGAACAGACCATCTATTTTTCTTTTCGCCGATAACACACCGTAAAAAGCACATCGTGTGTACAGGGTATATTATTACCAAGAAGGGCTTATCGGTCCCGGCTATCGGCGCTCCCTATACCTCTTTTACACCACCGCAGTGCATGTGCACACACCCACCGTGGAGGCGCAATTTTTCCGTGCCTCCCGTCATTCCGAAATCGATCTCCTCGGCGCGCTGTACGGCGACCGAGCTCCCGCGCGTGTAGCTTTAATCTTTTTTTTTTTTTTTTTTATAAAATTTATCATCTCGCGCTACCGTGACGGGGAAAAGACGCCGAGTTCCAACATATACGTAACGCCGCACATCGGTCGATCGGAGGAAAATAAAAGACCGGCGAAGGTTTTCCATCGATTAAAATATTTTACCCCCCCCCCCCCCCCGCGAGTGTGTATACACGCGTCACGGGTACTCGTGCGTTACAACGTGCACGTATATACTTACAGAAAAAGGAATATAGGAAGAGAGCCAGATGAGAGCGACTGCACGCCGATGATCCAATAAATCGGCCGGTCATCAGTTTGGTCGATCTCCCCCGCAGCATCATGCGCCAACCGGTGCTGTACTTTTTCTGTTGCTTCCTCGCGTTTTGCTGTCTCTCGACGTTCCTCTCTTTCGCGGCGGCCAACGACAATGGCCAAGTCGCCAACAGGTGGGTGCTTGTTTTTTTTCGGCTTTTTCGTCGTTTGGTGGGTCCAAGGGAGAAGAGCAGAGAGAAAAGAAATCGGTACAAAAGCACGCGTGTCTCGCAGGAACCGGGGGTACGTGTTCACGGCGCCGAAGCGGCTAATAGCCGGCGAGAAGAAGAACGTGTGTCTGTCGTTGCACAATTTGGAGCCGCCCGTGCACGTGAGCGTCGATCTGTTGGCCACTGCGGCGTCGTCGTCGGGTGGTAGCGCCAACGCGTCGATCAGCACCGTCGACCGGGAGGACGATGTACTCGCCAGCATACAAACCACTCTCAAAACTGGTAAAACATAAATACTTTTTTTTTTTTTTTTTTTTTTTTTTTCATCCAAAGATAACGAATGATATTACATGTACCTATATACCTATATACTTGGGTTCTTGAGCATCGTTGTACCATGTATAACACGGGTGCACGAGTATGCGGCGATCGAGAGAGTTTGCGCCGTTCAATTGAAATTGTCGCGGCTTCCGGCCTGGGGAACTCCGTACCGTACATTATAAACAAGACGATGATCCCTCGCGCGCGCCCGTACATATAAATATGGGTGCACAATGTGTGTATATACTCACGTTCCAACTGTGCGCGGGTGTACGGGCAATTTTAGACAATTTCAAACAATACTTACCCACTTGGTTGCTCATATATTTATGCACGCCGTTAATTTCACCGTCTCCCTTCGCTAACTATATTATGTACTCCCTTTTTTCAACGGACAAGCTGTGTCATTGGAATAAGGGTTGCGGGTTGTAATTATCCGTGGTTAGGCTCTTTTTGATAAGTATAAGGTACACAAATGATTACCCGGTGAAGGGATCGAGTCGTGTATGGAGCTGCGCGTGACGGCCAACACAAAGTACAGCGTGGCCAGCCTCAGGCTGCGCCTGCAGCACCCGGACTACGTCGTCGAGGCCCAGAAGAGGATCTTCATCGAGCACGACGCGCTCGTGACTTTCGTCGAGACGGACAAGGCCATTTACAAGCCCGGCCAGGACGTCAACCTCCGCATCCTCAATCTCAAGCACGACCTCAAGCCGTGGACCAAACCGGTGCGCAATTTATTATAATTACACACCCAATCCTTTTTTTCTCACTCCCCCCCCCCCCC